ACGAAGGTGTAAATAAACCGGTACGGTGGCATATTTTCACACCAGAATACGTGTGTTTTGCTTGCGGCTTGGTTCTGTAACCTACTGGGCCTGGCAACTGTTTCCAGATCGAGTTCTAGCTGCCCTAACATCTGCTTGGTTTCCATTCATATGGTAATGAGTTTGGTAGCGAAAACTCCACTTCTGCAAAGGCAGCGACGCATTCTGCAAGCGATCAGCTGATCGCAAAACCACGTTTTGGCTTATAACTCCAGAATAAAGCAACTTTGGACAAAGAAACTTTGTGGATATGGAATGGTGCTTGTTAGGAACATACTGTGTCAATAAGGAATCTTAAAAATGTCATAAATTTCATTTTTCTAAAATAGAAAAAGCGGAAATTCATCCCCTATCACACCCCCGTTTTGGAGCGCTTGTTCCGAAAAGGCCCGTATCTCGCTAACGAAGCCTCGCTCATTCCCAGATTTGGCCATTTCGCGACTTGGGAAACGCGATGGGCTCTTATGGGGGTTTTACTCCGGGTCTTGTCGGCTCTTGTTCTTGAACTTGAGGCTCACCCCGACTATCTAATCATCACGAATTTATCGGATAAGAACCATTCTAGTCGTGCATCTGTTCAATTTGAGACAAAAATTTCCAGAACGACTTTTATGAGCGGCTGAATACGGAGCTTTTTCGTTAATATTCCAAATCGTTTTACGGTTTTCACGCATCGAAGAATCTGTGGAAAAACGCACAATTTACTAAAAATAAAACTCATACCTTCTCCATACAATTATTAACAGTTTCTTACTCAGTTGGAACATTTGTAGATGAACTTTCCCGTTTTTTTGTGTGCAATGTTAGGTCGAGATAAGTTGCTAGTACAGTTTATTCTCTCCACACTAAAATGCAGGTACTCTACTCCCTCACTATAAAAATCCCGCTAACCCCGGTGACTAATGGACAGCTCCTCTGGCCAATTGCATACTGTCTTGCAACCGTAGCATCTGCTTGGAGATTACAAAAATCCACCACTCTTCCTGCAGCAAATCTGATCTACTGATGCGGGGTGAAAGGCTTGATGGGAAGATAAAGGGTTCTTTGGATGAGGATGACTGACAAAACGTGATCCGAATCAATTTTTCTCTGTGAATGCTGTACGGAAATCTTGGATCATAGTGAATGGCAGTTTACTTGTATCCAGAATCTGTATTCTGTCTGTGTTGTATAGCCGGTATATTAAACTGCATTTCAACCGCACCAGGACTTGAAAATCGAGTATTATCATAAATCTCAGCGCCTCTGCCGAATGGGTCCAGATTTTCTTTGGAAACTGCAAAGCCGGTGCTCAAGTAGCCTCCGTAGCAGGCTTATAGAACTGGGGGTTTGGTGGTCTTCGGCTCATTTCTGATTAGCCAAGTTCTAAAAATGGGGGTAATTCAACCAGGCCGGCTTTGTTGTCTATATGAGAAAATAGCACATAAAAAGCTCTCAAAGACCCTGAAGACCCCCAACCCCCCACTTTTTGTCATGCTATGGAGGCTAGTGCTCAAGCGAATATCATACATAAAATCAACATTCTGTTGCATTGCTGAACTAACTCCCTACTTACACGCACAGTGGTTACACAGCTCTGCCGCTGGCGTTCTGCGATGCCGAGTCAGGCTCTTACGCCTCTCAATCCTGTTACGGGTAAAACTGCATCCGTGAGGGGGATAGATCTTACTTAATGGATTATGGGGGCACAGACCTTCCCTTAACTTGACGCTGAAGTGATGGGAGAGACGAGGGCATGAACGGAGGAAGTAATGCACCAGTCAAGTTTAAAAACACACCTGATCTTGTTCGTGTGCCTAACCAGTGAGTTCATCCGTCTTGGGAAATTTCGGCCCTTAGTCAATAGTTATAAGTCAAAACGTGTTTTTGCGATCAGCTGATCGCTTGCAGAAGTGGTAAAATCGTTTGCAGAAGTGCAGAAGTTTTCGCTGTCGGAGACATTACCGTATAAATGAAAACCAAGCGGAGAAATCGTATACAATGGCAATCCTCCAGCTTAAGTTACGATTTCCCCCCTGACATCTGCTTGGTTTTCGTTCATATGGTAACGTTTTAGACTAATGTGTATCTCACATGCAAGTATGAAATTTGATCATCGCACAGTTAGCAACTATTTAGTGTTATAGATATTGTAGAGTCAGCAACTGCCACACCAACATTAACCCCTGAAGACACATTTCTACCTACCTTGTTTTGTAGAGCCGTAAAGTGGGCTGGGGGGGGGGGGGGTAGGCCGTCGTAAATCTTATCGACCCTCTGCAAGGACATTCTACCCACAGGCCTCTGTTTCACCTGGACACACGCGTCTGGAGTT